GGGGGCCAGGGTTGGCAGTGGCTCCTCAGTCATATTAAAATCGGTGACTCACTTGGAATGTCAATCTACTGAACTTCTAGTCAATCTTCCCACCTATGCTATGACAAAGAATTTGTCTCCTCTTTCATGCCAGAAAGCCTGGACCTCCTAAAGGCCTTGGAATTTCCTGAGCGATGTCTTTGTCATGCTATTGAGGTCACTTTTGGTGGACCTCTAGGATGGGGCTGATCACCGGAAGTCCAACTACATGATTAGAGGGTTGAAACGTTGGGCCAGTCCTACCTCTGGGGAGTGGTGGTGGGTTTGGAGACCGAGTTCAATCACATGGCCAATGATATAATCAATCATGCCTATATAATGAAACCTCACAAAGGACCCTGGGCACCAAAAGTCAGTGGAGCTTCATGGTTGGTGAACACATCAATGTACTGGAAGAGTGATATGCCCTGACTTCATGAAGAGGGCACAGAAGCCTTGCATCCCTCCCATACCTCATCCTATGTGTGTCCTTTATAATAACACTGCAATCATAAGTACAATGCCAAAAAAAGAAAAAAATTATTGGTATGAAGAAGAATATTTTGACATTTTATTATATTTTATATTAAATGTCCATATTGACTTAAAAATATCTACAGGGCATTATGTATAGTATACCAATAAACACATCTCTACCCCCTTGCCCCCTTGCACACCACACACACACCACACACACCAGGGGGTTTGTGTGTTTTAGATAGAGGAAAGGAGAGGGGGAGAGAGAAAGAAACACCCATCACCTGCCTCCTGCATGCCCCCTACTAGGGATCAAGCCCGCAACCCGGGCTTGTGCCCCGACTGGGAACCGAACCGTGACCTCCTGGCTCAGAGGTGGACTCTCGGCCATCGCAGCCTCACCGGCCGGGCTGAGCACATCTCTACCTTCTCTGTAGAGTCTTAGGAATGCGCACGCAGGGGAGGCAGAAAGAAAGCCAGGCAACAAAGTGGAAAGGGCTGCTCCGACCGTGAACGTAGGCCCGCCCTGCGGCTGGAAAGCGGGGCGAGGCGGCTGGCGGGGGGGTGAGGCACCAGCTCTGACCTGAGGAGGTCGTCTCTGTCCTGGAAGACCCGGGCGCGCCGGCTGACCGTGTAGCGGGGGAAGGCCACACGGCCCAGGTCGGCCAGCAGCACCGTGGAGAGCTGGCCCTGCCCCCCGCAGGCGGCGTCCTCCTCTTCCGGGGCGTCGGTCAGCGAGAAGAGCAGCAGCGCCCGGGAGAACACCGCCCGCGGGCCCCTGCGCACCCTCAGCGCCGGGCCCGCCAGGTCCTTGGCCCTGAGACACAGACGGGGACACGGCATCAGGTGACGTTCAGAGGCAGCCCAGCTAAGGGTGGGGTGCTCGCTGTTCTCAGCCTCCAGGCAGCCACCCTCCTGCTGTGCACCCCCGGAGCGTCTCTTCGCCTCTCTGGGGCCCAGCGCCCACCAGGCACCCAGGGCGGCCTCGGGGACATTTCATTTCCCAATGGTTCACGCACCGTGTGGCTCCGGGAGAGAGCCGGGTGGGCTGGCGCTGGTCGCGAATAGCAGGAAAACGCGTAAAAGTATTGCCCGTTTGACATCAGCGATTCTCCCTTCTGACTCCAGGCACAGTTTAGATGAAGTATTACGCTTAATGGAGAGCCTCCCCCCGCCAAAAAAATTGACTGAATAGCTTACTCTTAAATCCTGCAAGAATAGCAGTCAGAACTGCATTTTTCTTGCATCACAAATCCTGGAATTTACCAAAAGGCCTATGGCCTGTATCCTCTCGCCTCCAGGTTGTCCGCGGACTTAGAAATTAGGATGGCGTCACAGGCATTGTGAGTAACAAACCACAAAGGACTCCAGGCTGGCGGAGTGAACGAGAACGCTCCTCCCTTCCCAATCAGTCGAGTTGCCAGTGAAACCAGCGATGCCAGTCCCAAAGCAGGGACCGCCTGTCAGAAGGTAAGATGCGCGCTCGGTGTTTCCCAATGATTTTACGGCAACGAGAGCCAACGCACCTCTTCAAGATCACCGCCCCGACCCCGGGCGCGCTCGTGCCCCAGCTGCAGACGGACGGCTGTCGGGCCAGTTTGAGCAGGGCCTCCGCCAGCTGCTGCTTCTGCCCCCCGGGGCTGCCCACGCGGAAGGTCTTTGCCAGGGCCCTCAGTTCAGGAGCGGAAAGCAGTTCAAGCACTTCAGGGAGCTCTTGCAACTCAGATTCTGAAATGGTGTTTTTTTTTTAAAAGAAAAGTTTTAAAGTGCCACAGCATGTTCTGGCGTCCTTTACTCTAAGGAAGCGTAGTTAGATGCCAACGAGATGGCATTCGCTGTGGAGATGTCAGTCTGCCCAACCAATTATCTCTGGGTATGAAAAACAGAGACCTAAGAGAAGGTATAGCAGACCTACTTCTCACTGAAAAGGAACGGAGATCTGCCCTGGCTGGTGTGCTCCGTGGTTAGAGCACCGGCCCACACACAGAAGGGTGGCGGGTTCGATTCCTGGTCAAGGGCATGTATCTGGGTTGCAGGTTGGATCCCTGGCCCCAGGTCGGGTGCATGCAGGAGGCAACCGATCGACGAGTCTCTCTCGCATCGGTGTTCCTCTCTCCCTCTTCGCTCCCTCCCTTCCAATCACTCTAAAAATCAATAGAAATGCCCAACCAATTATCTCTGGGTATGAAAAACAGAGACCTCAGAGAAGGTATAACAGACCTCCTTCTCACTGAAAAGGAACGGAGGTCTGCCCTGGCTGATGTGCTCCGTGGTTAGAGCACCGGCCCGCACACAGAAGGGTGGCGAGTTCAATTCCTGGTCAAGGGCATGTATCTGGGTTGCAGGTTGGATCCCTGGCCCCAGGTCGGGTGCATGCAGGAGGCAACCGATCGACGAGTCTCTCTCGCATCGGTGTTCCTCTCTCCCTCTTCCCTCCCTCCCTTCCAATCTCTCTAAAAATCAATGGAAAAAAATGTCCTTGCGTGAGGATTAGCAACAACAAAGAAAGCAAGTGCAGACACTCTTTGATTATCCTCATTGTCTTAACCCCAAAGGCGAAGGAGAGCGTGGCCTTCACATGAGTGACTTATTACAACACACAATTACTATCGACCGAGCCCCAGCCAGCAGTTGGCACGGCACCAGCATCGCCGTCCCTCATGTCCTGTTTTCCCCTTACGTTTCCCTGGATGCATCGTACCCGTCTGCAGGAAGCCGGCTCGCTCCAGTTCTCCAACTACGGGCACCAAGTCGGGGGCGATCTCTTCATAGTCCAACTTAGGCCTCTTAATCCAGCCGAACTTGCGCTGGAAAAGTCTGACATACAACTTCTGACCGCCATCTGCAAGCGGGTGAAGCAAAAGAGGGGAGGATGTGACCTTTCTTCTCCAAAACAGCGGACAGGTATCACCTCCTTTTTAAAACCGGGGGACAGGATACCTCTTAGATGTGCATGCCTGCCTCCTCAACTGGTCTCCCCCCAGACCCCTTTTCTTCCTGTGGAAGATGTAACTTATCTGAAACAGAAAGCCCCCATGGGGAATGTCTCCTGGCCCACGTGCTCGTCCCCCAGGGACAGGGAGATGCCCAGATGGGAAGCCCGGGGCCAGTTCTGCCACTTGCCAACTGTGGGGCACCTTCCTGAGACTTCGCTTTCACTCTCACAAAAAGGAGGGGCTGGCACTGGCCAGTGTGTGCTCAGTGGTTAGAGCATCGGCCCGCACACCCAAGGGGTGGCGGTTTGATTTCTGGTGGGAGCACGTGCAGGAGGCAACCAACTGATGTGTCCCTCTGACATCGATGTTTCTCTCTCTCTCTCTCTCCCCTCCTTCCCTTCCACTCTTTAAAAAAAATGGTGGAAAAAATATCCTCGCGTGAGGATGAACAGCAACACAAGGAACTCGGTAGTAATTCCACTGTGTGAATTTAAAACAAAAACCTTTCCCTTTAACGTGAGGAGTCACGTTCCGGGTTTTGAAAAATCTACTGAGAAGTCAGACGTGGCTGCGGGGCGCCCAAGGTCGGCGTGGCCTCCTCGCCAGCCGTTCCTGCCTCGGGAGGGACCCTGGCCCCCCCGCGGCCCTCTGGGTAAACAGTGGGGCTGGGACAGGGTGGCTTCTGTTGCAAACCTGGACCCTGGCCTAGAGCCACGGCGGCTGCCAAGGAGCCGGGCGTATTTTTAAATGGACCGATTTAGCTTGGCCGCTTCCACTTCCTCCACGCCCAGACACGGAAAGGCAAACCCAGGAGCCTGAAATATTGCTGGGGGTGGAAATGTGCTTCAGCCGACCGAGGTCTGCCTCCTCCTCTCCGTGCCTTTGCTTTCACGTCTGGGGAGAGGCTGTGCAGGAACCAACAGCCCGCCCCCAGCCGAGCGGCCGCTCAGAACGCAGAGGGCGCTTTGCGAGGTCGCACTGCTAGCTCTTATTTTTTAACCCAGAAAAGGCTGTTTGTCACCTACCGATGACATCAGTAAGTCCTGCGACTTTAAGGGAAAAGTGTAACAAAACCAATTCCGCCGTAGACTAATTGATATAAATGAGAGTTTAGTTCCTATGGCATCTCATCCGTATCGTAATGAAAAGAGGATGAACAAAACATTATTGGAGCCCGGCCGGCGTGGCTCAGTGGTTAAACGTCAACCTAGGAACCAGGAGGTCAGGGTTCGATTCCCAGTCGGGGCACATGCCGGGGTAGCGGGCTCGATCCCCAGTGTGGGGCGGGCAGGAGGCAGCCGATCCGTGATTCTCTCTCATCGTTGATGTTTCTCTCTCTCTCTCCCTCTCCCTTCCTCTCTGAAGTCAATGAACATAACATTGTCGGAGGGCCTGCTGTATACATACAGGCAGGAAACTACAGGAACGGCCATCACAGGGCACAAAATCTTGCCTCCTTTCCAAACATCTCCTAACCTAGAGGAGACGGCAGAAGGCTGACTCCTCTGAGTGCTTCCAGTTGATTCTTAAAACCACACTGACTCCTTGTGGCCACCAGACTGCTGCTCGTCGTCACCTCACGGCCTGAATCGGGCCAGCCAATGGGAGACAAAGCCCCGAAAGCACACGCCTACCGTACCCGATAACTGATGGAATTTAGTGATGATTCCCTTCTCCTGCTCGTCGAAGAGCATCCTGTCGTCCTCATTCTCAAAGACGGCTGCCAGCACCACCAGGAAGCTGCGGAGGTAGTAAGGGTGGCTGGGCGGCGCTGGGACGGGTTCACCGGGAACACGGCAGCTCGGCCCTGGCCCTGGCCCCGGCCCCGAAGGAACCCCGCGGGCAGTTTCATCCTTTAAGCCGCTGTCACCTTCCAGAGGGAGTCTGTGGGAGTTCCTCCACTCTGAAGCGTCACGGGGAGAGCTCTGAGATGGCGCCTCCCAAGAAAGCTGTGTTTCCGATTCCGAAGCCTCAGGGACTTCGGTTTCTTCACCAACGCCTGCCTCACGTGTCCCGACACCCTCGCCATCCGCCTGTTCGACGCTCTCCTGCTCTGCCCGGCTGGCCTCGGGAGCGGAGGGTAGTTTATTCCCAGGAGTTCCTCTGGGCGGTAACACTGGAGCATTGTCTGGGGAGGCAGGAGCGAGGGTGGACCTCCCACCGTCCTGGGGAGGCCCTGGCTTTGCAGCTGCCCTTAACGAGGGGCCTTCCACAGTATCTTGCTCCGGAAGAGGATCACAGGAAAACAGGTTCTCCTTTTGGGAACTGCTCTCCACGCCCCGATCGTCGTCCTCTGCCTCCGCACAGCTCGCCACCACCCTGACCGCTGCGGCGGCCGAGGTCTCGTTCTTCTCCGTGGCTCTTCTCGCCTGCAGGTACCTCCTGGATAGTTTAGAGGACAGGCTTCCCAAAGGAACGACTTGGACGGGGCGAGATGGCAGCTCGGCGTCTGGATTGTGGCACGCGCCGCCACCGGTACCTTGAAAGTAGGGGCTGGTCTGCTTTTTCCCGCCCCTTGTGGCCGAGTGGCTTTGGTCAGATGGTGGCGACTTCTCCGGTGTGACCCCTTCTCCCGGGGCCACGTCGGAACCCAGCCCGGGGGCCACTGGAGTGACGTCATCGCCGCTAGCACACATGTCATCGAGGTGCCGGTTCAGGTCGTAGCGGGGCACCATCTGACTACACACGGGGCAGGCAAGCCTGGCGGGTGGCGCGCTGTTGAAACACAACACGATGGATTTGGATGCATTTTTCCTCGCTCTGCTGCTCGACAGGCTTCGACGGGGCCTTTTCCTCGCGGGCGATGTCCCCGCCGGCATCATGCGCCCTGGAGAACCGGGCTGTGTCTCGGGGAGGAGAGCGAAGGCGACCCCTGGGGGCGGGCGCAGGGGCTCGCTGGGACGGTCCCTGGCTGGACGGAGGAGAGGGGGCTTCCCTTGGACTTCATAGCACGTACTCCCTCCCTGCAGAACACAGCACGCGCGGGTCAGACGGTAAAGCGCGCTCTGAACCCTGCGGCGGGCATCGCGGAGGAAAATTCATTTATTAAATCCAGTGGTTTTGAATAGGCAGCTGGGCAAGTCCTCTGAGAAGGTGACAGCAGAGTGACCTGGAAGAGGGGAGCAGGGGAGCCATCATGACTTCCGCTGGAGGAGGACTTTACGGGCAGAGGAAACGTCACTATGTGAGTAGCTCATGTATGTAATTTCACATCAGCTGAGCCACTTCCTGCCCCTGGAGGCTCTGCAGAACCAGCGCTGGGTGGTGAGTCTGAAGCCTCTGAGAGAAACAGTTCTATCGGAGAAACTTGTCATTGGGGCCACTTACTCACGGCTTCCTCCTGTCACGGACACGGGCCCGTGGGGTTCTGGGCATGACTGACCAGCAGATAGAGGCCTTGTCACTCTGGAAAGGTTAGGGTAGGAACTGGAGAGAATGCGCCCCGGCACGTGCGCTCCGAGGGCACCCCTTTCCCGGTCGGGGCGCAGGCCGCGTGTCGGGGGAGCCGTGGGTGTCAAAGTGAAGCGGACACAGGCACCATTCACTCAGGGGCAGGCCTGAGCAGGTCTTTGTGAAATGATCAAGTCCACAGAATGGCAGGCAATTTAAAACATTATGTCTGGAATTTTCCTTCACATTTTTGGACCCCGGCTGACCACAGGTAACTAAAATGGTGGAAAGGGAAATGGTGGGTAAGGGGACTAGCGTAGCTAGAGAGTGATGAGTTTGGGGTACTTGATTTCACTCTAGCTTAGCTGTGAGGTTGTGCAATTTAATTCCTAATAATGGCTGCGTCACTGAAAAGTGACTTCATCGGTCAGCCCTGCGGCACGGACACAGCTGCCTCCGGCGTCCCCAAGGATGACCAGGACGTTCGCTTTCTCAGCCCAGGGGCCCGCCTGTCCTCCGCCCCTCGCCGCCTGCGACACGGGCCAGCGCTCACTATGTACTAACTTCATCCACGTGCTGAGTGAACTCACCAGAGCAAAGGGACAGGAATAGGGAATTCACCATTAGCTAGGTGGTGTGGCCTCCCTTGGGTGAGGTAATGTCCGCTGGGCGTGGGGAAACCCCTGCCTTCATGGAGGACACATGCTGGTTGAGGAAGGTAGAGGGAAAAAACCTAAATAAATAACTAAATAAATAATGTAGAGAATTGAAAGACAAGCCCTTTGGAGAGAAAGGAGGAGCATCGCAGTGAGGGCGGGGAGGAAACCCCTCGCCGCCTGCGACACGGGCCAGCGCTAACTTCATCCACGTGCTGAGTGAACTCACCAGAGCAAAGGGACAGGAATAGGGAATTCACCATTAGATAGGTGGTGGGGCCTCCCTTGGGTGAGGTAATGTCCGCTGGGCGTGGGGAAACCCCTGCCTTCATGGAGAACACATGCTGGTTGAGGAAGGTAGAGGGAAAAAACCTAAATAAATAACTAAATAAATAATGTAGAGAATTGAAAGACAAGCCCTTTGGAGAGAAAGGAGGAGCATCGCAGTGAGGGCGGGGAGGAACGGCCTCACTGTAAAGGTAATAATATAAAAATATATGTATTTTTATTGATTTCAGAGGGGAAGGGAGAGGGAGGGAGAGACATCAGTGATGAGAGAGGACCGTGGCTGGGCTGTCTCCTGCACGGCCCACACGGGCTTCCCAAAGGCAGCCTGGGGTTTCTCTTTACACCGAGGAATTAAACATCTGCCACCCGGGCCACGCAGAGTTCTCAAAACACTTTATTTATAAAACAGGACGGTGGCTGAATATAAACTTACATCGTATTTACATTAGAGTCCGAGTGTATTACAGCTTTAATTTATGGACTGAAACGTCCTGTCGCTGCTTCTTTTTCTTTTCTGTCTTCTTGGCGTCGCTGATTTGCATTTTCACTTGATCTTGTAACTTAGAAAAGAAAGCTTGAGAGGACTTTAAGGCTTTGTCTTTACCTTCATCCTGCAATTAAAAATAACACATGCTCATGTACAGATGTGCTCACGGCGAAGAGCCCCAATGACGACAACATCCCGTCAGGGTAGGAATGATGCCTGGCTGGTGTGCACAGTGGTTAGTGTCGGCCCACGGACTGAAGGGCCTCGGGGTCAATTCCCGGCCAAAGGCCTGGACCTGGGTCCAGGTTTGATCCCTGGCCCCGGCAGGAGGCAACCAATCAATGTTCCTTTCGCTCCCCCCACCACACACACACTCTCTAAAAATCAATGGAAAGAAATATCCTTGTTTGAGAATAAAAATACAGATACACTATATATATATACACACACACTATATGTGTGCGTGTGTGTGTGTGTGTGTGTATATATATAAAAATTGAAAAAGGACTAGGTGAACTTGTGAAACACGTCGCTGATTTGCATTTTCACTTGATCTTGTAACTTAGAAAAGAAAGCTTGAGAGGACTTTAAGGCTTTGTCTTTACCTTCATCCTGCAATTAAAAATAACACATGCTCATGTACAGATGTGCTCACGGCGAAGAGCCCCAATGACGACAACATCCCGTCAGGGTAGGAATGATGCCTGGCTGGTGTGCACAGTGGTTAGTGTCGGCCCACGGACTGAAGGGCCTCGGGGTCAATTCCCGGCCAAAGGCCTGGACCTGGGTCCAGGTTTGATCCCTGGCCCCGGCAGGAGGCAACCAATCAATGTTCCTTTCGCTCCCCCCACCACACACACACTCTCTAAAAATCAATGGAAAGAAATATCCTTGTTTGAGAATAAAAATACAGATACACTATATATATATACACACACACTATATGTGTGCGTGTGTGTGTGTGTGTGTGTATATATATAAAAATTGAAAAAGGACTAGGTGAACTTGTGAAACATTCACCCGGTCAGCACAGAGATAGTCTACACATTCGACGCTGCTACAGTGCTCTTGAAATGTGAGGGCAGAGGGAGGAGCAGAGTGTGAGGCCTCTGCACCCGCAGGTGGGCGGTGTCGCCGGCTCTGCCACCCAGGGGACAGCGGCCCCCAC